TATTCCATACATTCGTCTGCTTTCTTGTGTGCATGTTGGTGTTCAGTATCCTTGCCGGTCTGGAGGTACCGATCTCTTAGTGTATTCTGGACAACATTTTTGCTGATATTCACGCTCCATTCCGCCGGCGAAGGCACATCGGATCGTGCCAACCACACGCAAATGTTTCTGTGTCGTCGAGAGGCGTTTGTGCACAGCCTCGGCCACGAGGCTCATCTGCCCAAGTCCGGCCTACTCTTCTCGGCTGAGTGGCGATCGCGATGGATGTGACGAGCACTGGGCAACTGGAAAGTGTGCGCTGCCTCCAGACAGACGATCTGTTCTGCCGGACCATAATTAGCCTCATCTCCTTCCGGCAAATTAGGCTTCTTCCGAGTCTCCTCTTCTCCCCCATCCTGGCCCTTGAAATCCCACTTGCTGGCAAACAATTTCCCCCCTCTCCCCCTCTGCCCCACCCTCTCGGCCGGATTGTGTAGACCAGTTCTCCACACGTTTACTGAGCTAATTGCAAGCTTAGTCTTATTACCTCTTTTTTTCGCGCTCCGAACTTGTTCAGCTCTTCTTTTGCCTCATAAACCAGCAACTTGGGCCTAAACTGAAGTCTGGAGGTGAGGGGCGGCAGCAGATAAATGTGGCAACCGTTGGGGTGTACATGCACATCGGACACCATTTGCCGGCCACTGCTCATTAATCCTGCCACGACAACTGAACTTGCCTTCTCTTATCTTTATTTCGCCTACACTTTCATACAAGTCTATGTTCGTCTTTATCTTCCTCTGTGCTTATATGTATGTATGCATTTGTGTGTGTGTGTGTGGAGAAAGTGTATTTTTTGATCTCCTCGTTCCCGAGGATTACTGGAATGCCTTGGAGGCATTCTGTTAGAGGCAATAAAGTCTGGCTCTTCTGGTCGCATCCCTTTCTCTTGCCCAACACCGAACAGACCAACAAAGTGTGTCCCTGTTGCCGGGTGCCACGGGGTGGAGAGCGCTCGAGGGTGGCCGGTCGTCAAGGTGCAGACCTGCCGTCGACTCGCCAGTTCGGATCGGAGAGGCGAAGAGCAGCTCCGAAAATGACCGAAAGTCGATTAGCGTGAGGAGGCTGAAGGGGTCGGACACCGGTTACCTGTTGCCGCCCGCCTCCCCGTTGCCAGGGCTGCTAGTAAAAATAAGTCCGGCCACGTCCATAAACTGAACCACTCAATGGTCTGCTTGTGCCTGCTCGGCACAACTGCACAAACTGTCCCCCCCCCACCCCCGGCATGCCCAAAATGGGCACTTGGGCAAGAAAGTCGATCTGCTTGTTGCCTGCGGTTGCAAGCGCACAAGCCTTGCTCACATGCACAGTGCATGTGAAACATACTGTCAGCCTCGTGGAAATGCGGCGGACTGAATATTGAGTCGAGATGATGATATCTCGCGCGTGGATCCTGCCCACATTTTGCCACTTCCCAGACCCGAAGTCGACGGATCGTGAATGCGATCACGCTACTTGGGTTCATGTGACTGGTCGCATGGACGAGATTTCGGCGCTACCTCGAGCACAGGGTACCAATTCATAGTTCGGCTCTACCGCATTGACACACATCGCGAATGAAAATCAGCAAAAATGTTGTCCAGAACACACTAAGAGATCGGTA